GTGCTGGGGGGCTCTTCCTCCAGCCAGGTGCGCGGCCGCCAGGTCCCGGTGAGGTCCAGGGCGCGCGCTCCACGCTGCGAGTGCGGGACAGGTGGGGGTCGCTGTGGAAGGACTCGGGCTCCCGCGTGTTGCCGGCCGCCTCTAGCTTCACCCTCTGCAGTCCCATCCCTTCCCCCCGGGGTGCCCAGTGTCGTTTCCTGCCTCTCTGTCCCTTTTCCCCATCCCCAACTCCACGGGATTAACTGGTGGGGGACAGGCTAGGGCTCCGAACTGTCCCCTCCTCCCCAAGATGAAAAGAGTTGCTCAGCTCAGTTCACCCCCCTTGCTGAGGCCCCGACCTCCTACTGGACGGGAAGGTGGGGACAGGTGGCCCGGGTACCCCTGGCCAGGCAGGTGGCAGGGTGGGTGCAGGGGGCCCGGGAGGGTGTGCAGGCTGCACCAGGGATCCCAGGGTGGAGAATGCAGCCCTCGGGCTTGGCAGAGTGCCCTCACCTCTGCCCCCAGGAATCCCTTGGGGGTGCCTAGGCTGGACTCTGCTCTTCCGTCTCCCCCATACCCTGCTAAGAGGGGGGGGACCCTCCCCGATGCAAAATAATGATTAACCCCACTGGGGAGACTCCAGCATTCCTCCCAAATTAAACTTTAAAAGAGCTGCCCCCCTTTTCCCTTTGGGTGGCTTTCCAGTCAGGGGAGTGGGCGGGATCGCAGAGGCCTGGGCCCTCCCCCTACTCTGGGTCACCTTGGGGCTCCCCATCTCCACCCCTGGGCCCGGCATCCCCAAAGGTTAAGCCCCTCCCCCACCATAAATCCTGATGGGGACAAAGCAAGAGTCTCCGCGGTCCAGGCCCCCCAGCGCGGTCTTACCCCCACCCTGCAAGCTGGGAAGGTGGCCTTGTTTTCTGTTGGCCCCACACACTGGGCCTGCCACCCGCCCTTGGGGCCAGCCAGGTGGGGCGAGATTCAGGAAGTAAACAAGGCTGGGAGGGTAGGAAGGAGGGTGGGGCTGGGGCAGCTGGGGCGGCTAGGGCAGGGGAGGCAGAGCGGGGAGATCCAGGGCTGGAGTTGCCCTTTCAGGGGGCAGATTGACTTGGGGGCCCCTGGCTTCAGGCTCGACCCACCTCCTCCTCCCCTTCCGGGGCTCCCCAGTGGAGGTGATCTGAGAGGAGCAGGTGACTTGAGGGTGGGTGTGTCCCCCCTTTCTGAATGGCTGTGGGGAGGGGGCCTTGTCTGTCTGTCTGTCTCCTCCGTGTTTGACTGTCCAGTCCTGCTGGGCTGGTCCCTCTGGCCAGAACACCTGGAGAGGAACTTCACCCCTGGGAAAGGTAGACCCGAACGAGTCCCGGGGCAGCCGGCAGGAGCAGCAGAAGGAGCCCGCTGGGGCCCCCACCTGAGAAGGGCTTGCTCTGCAGGGGCTTCGATGCCAGCCAGGCCAGTGGTCCCAGCCGGGCCAGGTTGTGGAGGAGGTGACATCAGCAGCACCTGACCCCCACCCCTCTGGCTGCAGTGGGTCGGGTGGGGGCCAGGGGAGAGGCTGTTTGTGTTTCTCCAAAGCCAGGAAGCCCAGATGAGTCAAGGCTGGATGGAGAGCCCCAGGCAGGGCTTCCCGCCCCACCCTGACTCACCGGCCGCTTCACCCTCTGTGCCCTCCCTGCAGGGTCAGAGGCCTGGCCCCATCCAGGCGAGGGGATCCCCGATGCCAGTGTGAGCGGGTGGGTGGGTGCTGGGCTTGGCACCTCCTCTGGATCCTCCCAGGATCTACTAAGCCATGGGCTTCTTGGTCCTCACTGGTCCTGGGTGTCCATGGGCCTGTGGGTGCTAAGACGTGGTAACTGTGGCTCTGCCTGGGGTACCCAGTGCGCTCAGGCAGTGGCTGGATGAGACAGGGTCCCTGGTAATGGGCACAGAGGGGCTCTTCAGTTGGAATCCAGGAGGGCTTCTCAGAGGAGGTGCCTGGCTCTGCCCTGGCAATCCGGGAAGCAGGGACTGGGACAGCGAAGGCACAGGTTAGGCCTTCAACTCCTGCCCTCCTGCTCAGTCTCCCCTGTACTCTGGAAACCACTTGTGCCTGGACGATGCCACAACAGGCTCTGCAGCTGGGCCTGGCAGCAGAGTGTTGGGGGGCCCAGGGCAGTGGCCAGTGCAGTGTGTGCCCTGCGTACGGAGGCAAGCATGCGGGTCCGAGTCTGAGGCTGTGCCAGACCCGTCTCCTATTCTCCTGAACAGCCCTGGCTGGGCACTGCATATGGAGTCCAGACTCCACCTGTCACCATGTCAGGAGGCTTGCCAGGGCCTCAGTGTCCCCTTTGGTAAGAAGGAGTTCGTTCTGTCCTCTTAAGGATTCCAGGAAAGCCCAGGGAGAGGCGGAGCAAGAGCCTGTCGTGGTGTTACAGGTATCTGTAAGCCCAGCACTCTGGGAGGCTGAGGCAGGAGGGTTACAAGTTCCAGCCCAGCCTGACAATTTGATGTCTTAGTGAGACCCTGCCTCAGAAGTTAAAAAAAATGGGCTGGGGGTGTGACCCAGTGCAAAGGCCCTGGGTTCAATGCCCATTATCATGAAGAGGGGGGGAGGGAGGACAGCTCTGGGGACAGTGTGGCAGCTTTGTGGGCCTGTGCACCCCAGAACAAGGTTCCTCCTCTTCCTCCCCAGATGTCATGGAGCCAGACCTGTCTCCACCGTGTTCTGGCAGCCCCCCAGAAGACCTGTGCCCAACTCCTGGGACCCCACCCGGGACGCCCCCACCTGGGACGCCCCCGCCCCCTGAAGCCCCTGTGCCTGGGGAGGTGGTGCAGTCCCAGCCTCTACCCATCCCAGCCAGCAGGTGCCATGGGGCGACAGGACAGGAGGCAGGGAGGGCCTGGGGGTGGCACCGGCTGACGATGCCCCGCCTCCCCGCCCAGGAAGCTTCCAGAGGAGAAGCGCCAGGCCACCTCGCTGCCCTCCATCCCCAACCCCTTCCCTGAGCTCTGCAGCCCTCCCTCACACAGCCCCATCCTTGGGGGGCCCTCCAGTGCCAGGGGGCTGCTACCCCGAGACACCAGCCGCCCCCACGTGAGTTCCCCGGGGGAAGGGAAAATGGGTGGGGTCCATCGGGGCCCCTGGGGTGGTTGGGGCACCAGGGGCGCAGAAAGGGATTTTTGGGAGACCTCTCCCCGTCCCCCCAGTCAGCACCGCTTGTCCCCTGGGTCAGGTGGTGAAGGTGTACAGCGAGGACGGGGCGTGCCGCTCGGTAGAGGTGGCTGCGGGCGCCACGGCTCGCCACGTGTGTGAGATGCTGGTTCAGCGCACGCAGGCCCTGAGTGACGAGAGCTGGGGGCTGGTGGAGTGCCACCCCCACCTGGCCCTGGGTGAGCGGGGACCCAGGGAGCCTCAGGACGCGGCCCGGGTGGAGGCCGTTTCGTCAGCACCAACCCCAGCCCTGTGCCCTGACCCAGAGCGCGGCCTGGAGGACCACGAGTCAGTGGTGGACGTGCAGGCCGTGTGGCCTGTGGGCGGAGACAGCCGCTTTGTCTTCCGGAAGAACTTCGCCAAGTACGAGCTGTTCAAGAGCTCCCCAGTGAGTGTGTGGGCCCGGCCTGGACACCCTGACCCCCAGTTGCTGACCCCTTGATCCCTGAGCTCGGCCCCTGTCTTCCCCAGCACTCCCTGTTCCCAGAAAAGATGGTGTCCAGCTGCCTCGATGCGCACACCGGTGTGTCCCACGAAGACCTCATCCAGGTGAGGGATTCCCACGCCAGGTGCTCCCCCAACTGGACAAGTCAGGTCCAGGCTGCAGCATCAGTTTCTTGCTTGTTAATGGGCACAAGGAGGACGCTGTGATCCCAGCACTGTGGGAGGCTGAGGCAGGAGGATCAAGAAAGTTCTAGTCCTGCCTGGGCTATTTAGCAACTCAGTGAGACCCTGTATCAAAATAAAAGACTAAAATCACGGGGTCTGGGTTGTGGCTCAGTATGAAGGCTCTCGGTTCAGTCCTCAGTCCTGGGGAGAAAATGGAGAACATCAGAGCTGGCAGAGCAGCTCCTGCCGATGGCCTGGCATGGGCACAGGGCAGGGCAGCCTCACCCTCCCACTCTGGCCCCCTCAGGATTTCCTGAACGCGGACAGCTTCCCTGAGATCCAGGGCTTCCTGCAGCTGCGAGGCTCGGGCCGGAAGCTTTGGAAACGCTGCTTCTGCTTCCTGCGCCGGTCTGGCCTTTACTTCTCCACCAAGGGCACCTCGAAGGTAAGGTCCCCGGGTGCCACCTGGCCCTGGCACGCTGCGTCCCCATCGGAACTCTGAGCCCCAACCCTGGGAGGTGGTCTCGGTCCCATGCAGTCAGGCGTCCTTGTGTGCTGTGTGAGCGTGGGCACGTCCCGTCCCTCTGGTCCCGAGGCTCATGTGGCTTGCATGCAGTAGGAGGGAACAGGGCCCCCCTGTACCAAGTCCTGCACACTTGTGCTGCTCAGGACCCGAGGCACCTGCAGTACGTGGCGGATGTGAATGAGTCCAACGTGTACGTGGTAACACAAGGCCGCAAGCTGTACGGGCTGCCCACGGACTTCGGCTTCTGTGTCAAGGTGAGGACCAGGCCGCGCAGGGCTGTGCGGGGAGGGGCCCGAGCCAGCCCAGGGCTTGGGGCTGTCCCGGGGACTCCTCCCCATGCCCTGTGGAGACTGGGGTCCTCGGGTAGGCGTGGACTTGCCCAGTCCCTCTCCCACCAGCCCAACAAGCTCCGGAACGGCCACAAGGGGCTCCGGGTCTTCTGCAGCGAGGACGAGCAGAGCCGCACCTGCTGGCTGGCCGCCTTCCGCCTCTTCAAGGTGAGGCCCAGGAACCCTGCACGTGGGGTCACGGCGCTGCCCCCAGCCTCCCGATGGGGAGGGCATCGCAGCCACGGCCCTGAGTGTCCTGGGCCCGGCTTCAGGAAGCTCCTACCCACGGGCAGAAGGGCCTGGCTCCTGGGCGTCCATCACAGCCTGGCTCTCTGGCCCCCTTTCTTCCCTGCCCCTAGTATGGGGTGCAGCTGTACAAGAACTACCAGCAGGCCCAGTCTCGCCACCCGCGCCCATCCTCCTTGGGGTCCCAGCCCTTGGTGAGTACCCGGGACCCAGGGCGGGTGGGCGGCTCGCCCGGCGAAGGGCCGCTGTCCTCACCCCCTGCACCTCGCCCCTCCAGAGGAGCGTCTCCGACAACACCCTGGTGGCCATGGACTTCTCGGGCCACGCCGGCCGCGTCATCGAGAACCCCCGGGAGGCCCTGAGCGCTGCCCTGGAGGAGGCCCAGGCCTGGAGGGTGAGGGTGCAGTGGGAGGGAAAGGGGGGTGCTGGGGAGCACCCCGAGCATGCCCTGACTCCCCACGCCCCCACCGCTCTGCAGAGAAAGACAAACCACCGCCTCAGCCTGCCCACCCCGAGCTCGGGCACCAGCCTCAGCACAGGTGGGTGAGGCGCCGGTCCCTGTGTGGCTGCCTCAGTTTCCCTGAGTGTGCCTTGCGAGCACGGGGTCCCCTCCCCTGACTGAGCCTGTCTGCTTTCCTCACCCCAGCCATCCACCGCACCCAGCCCTGGTTCCACGGACGAATTTCCCGGGAAGAGAGCCAGAGGCTCATCGGGCAGCAGGGCCTGGTGGACGGGTAAGAGGCGGCTGGGTGGGCGGAGCCCAGATGGAGACACTGGGGCGGTTCCGAGGGGGAAGCCAGGAGTCACCACTGTCCGCTGTCCTCAGGCCGCTAAGGGGCCAGCTCCCCTACCGATGTGCCCGTGGGCTGTGGGGCTTTGGCTCAGCTGTGCAGGAGTCACAAGCAGGCACCGTGTGGCCCTGCTGGTGTTCGCACCCAGGCTGGGAATGGCGTGGTGCTCAGCTGTGTGCCACCCGCTCTGCACTGCTCAGAGCCTCAGGAGGCCGATGGCCTCTAGCCGTGCTGATGCCCACACCCCATCGTCTCTGCTGCAGCCCTCAGCTGAGCCTGCTGTACTTGATAGAAATCACCTGTGCAGGCGAGCCTGTGCCATTGGGAGGGGGTTGAGGGGCTCATGCAGTAGAAGCGGGCAGGGGAGGTTGCTTTAGAGAAAATGAGCACCTTGCACATTCGTGGTCTCGGGGAGGAGAGGGGCCTTTGGGGACCCAACTGAGAAGGGCCGCGGAGGGCGGTGTCGCCCAGAGAGGCAGCAGGCCAGGGTTGTCTGGGACAGGTCCATGACCAGAGCCCACTGTGGCCAAAGTAAATACGGCCAAGCACCTGGTGTCGCAGGGCCAGCTGTGAGACGTTAGGGGCAGATGCAGAAGAAAAAGTACCTTTGGAGCCAGGTGATGGCACACACCTGTAATCTCAGTACTTGGCAGGCTGAGGCAGGAGAATTACCATGAGTTCAAGCCCAGCCTGGGCTACATAGCAAGATCCCATCTCAAAACACCAAATAAGTAGATAAGTAAGTACCTCATGGGAGCGTGGGCCCCTTTTTCCTGTCCCAGCGGCAGCCACATGCCCTCCGTAACGCCATCCCATCCCTGCAGCCTGTTCCTGGTCCGGGAGAGTCAGCGGAACCCACACGGCTTTGTCCTGTCCTTGTGCCACCTGCAGAAGGTCAAGCACTACCTCATCCTTCCAGTGAGTGACCGCCCTCCCCAAGGGGCCCCTGATTCCTGCAGCGGGGACGAAGGGTTCCGGGCAGCCAGACCTCGACAAGTCCCTTGGCCCCCTGCATGTCTCCTCTGTGTCTCCCTGATCTCTGCCCTTGGCCGCTCTGCAGAGTGAGGCCGAGGGTGGTCTGTACTTCAGCATGGACGATGGCCAGACGCGCTTCACAGACCTGCTGCAGCTCGTGGAGTTTCACCAGCTCAACCGTGGCCTCCTGCCCTGCCTTCTGCGCCACTGCTGCACTCGCGTGGCCCTCTGACGGCCACACGAGCCGTCCCGGCCGTGTCAGGCCCCCCAGCACCGCCCCGGAATGGACTGGGGGTGCCAAAGGTGGAGTGGGCAGGAATGACGGAGGGGTCCCCTCTCATCTCCTCCTGTGCTCCTTTGCCTCCTGCCTGCAGAAAGCACCCCCTTCAAGGAAGGCCTGAGTGTCCCTGGCCCCTCTGAAGCACCCCAGGGCAGTGCCTCTGGCAGGGGCAGGCCTGGGGGTTGCAGACCCCACACCCTGTACACACCGAAAGGCCAGTGATCTGCTGTTTTATACTTGTGACAATAAAGACTATTTTTTGATACACCCATGGTTCTGGAGGCAAGATGTGGCTAGTGACAGGAAGGGGACCAGGGCCAGGCTGGTGGTGCACACCTGTGATCTAGCACTTGGGAAACTGAGGCAGGTGGAGCGCTGTGAGTTTGAGGCCAGCCTGGGCTACCTAGTGAGTTCAAGACCAGTCCGGAGACCCTTTACCCATGAGTGTGACGAGTGGGTGTGCATGCCATTCGCATGAGATGCGCCTCCCTCAAACCTTGTTACCAAGTGGTGAAGGTGTCAGGTGGGTCAAGGCCACGTCCTGACTGTCTGGGGTGGATTTGTTTTTTGGAACACAAAAGGTTGGAACCTAGGGCCTCATGCATCCTAGGGAAGTACCTGCCACCAAGCCACACCCCAGCCCTGGCTGGGCTCTTCTGCAGGGCAGCGAGTGGTTCTCGACCAACTCAGAGTCCCTGGCACCTAGCATGGAGCCCAGCATAAGCAAGGTGTCCAGCAGTTGCTCCTTCCGTGAATAAATGGGCAAGGGACTGTCATCCAGGTGAGGTTCAGGGACAGGGCCTGGGAACTGGCGACATCCCCAGCAAGTGCTGGGTGGAGGGACAGCGTCCTGACATGCAGTTCCATCACCGCAGCCAGGACAGAGAGGCCCCTCATGTCCATAAGTCCCTGTGCCACCTCTGGCACAGTCCTTCTCCTCCCTAGCCCGAGATCTGCTTTCTGTCCTCCCCAACCTCCTGGCACCGGGCCCCCTCCACCCTCCAGGCTGTCCAGGAAACAAAGCCCTGCATTCTGGGCAACTCAGCAAGATACCGTCTCAAAATAAGGTGAAAAGGAGCCGGCAGTGTAGCTGAGAGCTTCCAGGGTTCAATCCTCAGTTCTGATGACAAACAGCTGATAACAAACAGCTTCTCAGACCAACCACTAGTTTATGTGACATAAGAAACAGAAGAGCATGTAAAATGACAAGGGGGGCACGAGAACCAGAATCCGGACTGGGAAACTGCAGAGATGACCCAGTCTCTTCTTCAACAAAAGTACAAGAACAGTGTAATCAGGGAATGTCTAGTTTCCAGGAAATTCAGGCAAATGTCAGCTCTGTGTGATGTGTGACCCTGACTGATTCAAATCCAAACTCACGGTAAAATACGGTCATGAGTAACTGGGGAAAATTCAAACTCATGAGCTGTTTGATGGTATTAAGGAATATGGTTAACTTTTTGAGATGTGAGAATAATATTGTGGTTATTTTTTTTTTTTAAGCTTTTATGTTTAAGAGACTCATTCTGGCTGAGCGTGTTGGTACATGACTGCAATCCTAGCACTGTAGAAGGCTGAGGCAGGAGGACGGCAAGTTTGAGCCTGGCCTGGGGGCCTTAGTAAGAATCTGTCTCAAAGTTAAAAAATGCAGAGTCTGGGGATGTAGCTCAGTGCAAAGGCCCTGGGTTCAATCCCCAGCACTGCAAAAACCCAAAAGGACTCACTCTGAAGTACAGTAGGTGAAATGATACCATGTCTCTGGGCAGGGCCAGGGGACAGCCAGCACTTCAGCCCAGCTCTGAGTGGCAGTCTGGACACTACCATCTGCTTGGCTTCCGGGTGGGCCTCGGGCCATCCCGGGAGCACCCATGGACAGTAGCAGGGTCCTCCCTGGGGCTCCCCTCCCTTATCTGTAGCCCTCGTTTTTCAAGTCGTCCTGGGATGACCTGGACAGCTTCAGCGAGCCTCAGGGCTGGCTATGGTAGCCCTGGCAACTACCTGTCCATGGCTCCTGATCCCAGAGTCCTGGGTTGGGGAGCTTGGAGCTGGGTGGGTAGACAGAGGAGCCACACACCCCAGCCCAGAAGCTGGGGCCAAACAGAAAAAGCCCCTGCAGCCCATGCGCAATGAGGTGGTGGATTTCCTCTTTTTAGCAGACTCGAGGTAGGGATTGGTCACTGCCCCAGACCCAGGATCACTGCTGGGCTTCAGGGCACTGAGCCTGTGACTGCAGCTGGCTGTGTGACTGGCCACAGGTGCCCAGGGCCACTCTGAGGTACGGTGCAGGGCTTTGGGGGGTGGTGGGCCAGCTCTTAAGCATGCCAGAGGTTAAGGCGGTACAGGACCCTTAGGCACTGGGCAGGACACAGACACCCTGTAGTCAATCATAATCGAGGCTCCTGGGAGACTGGTAGGCTTCCATTCCACAAGTGGGAAACCGAGGCTCCAAGAGAGAAACCCACCCTGGGTCACAGAAGAGTGAGGGACAGAGGCCCAGATGGCAGGAGGCGGGCTGTGCCCCTCCCAGCCCTGCCCTTGGCTCTCTGCCCACCAGGAGGGACCCGGCAGCTGGGTGTCCTTGGAGAAGGTGGCACCAGGCCTGGCACTGGCCCTGGCATCTGGGGTGGCTGAGGCTTCTGGCTCCTCGGAGTCCAGGGAGCAGGGCAGCGTGTGGGGCCGAGGGGACCGGGCAAGATCCCGGCTCGGACTGCAGCGAGAGCCCAGAGGCAGACAGCAGGGGATGGTTTGTGTGGGAGGGGACCGGGAGGCTGAAGCCGCCCCACCTGGACTCCCGCAGGGTGCGGGTCGTGGAACTGGGCCCTGGGTCTCGCGGTTCGGGCGGAAGCTGTGTGAGGGCCGGCTGTGAGCAATCACGTGTTCCCCGCGCCTGCAGTCCGAGTCCCACCTTCCAGGCCAGGCCAGGCCCAACCCCAGGGTGGCAGAGGTCGCAGGGACCGCCTGCCTCTCCAGTCCCTAAGCAGGTTCCCTTCTAACAGTCCTCCAAGCTGAGCCACCGGGCCACATCGCAAGGGACAAGCTGGGTGGGGAGGGCGCTGGGAGCGAGGCTTTGGACCTGGGCCAATGTGCAGGGTGATCTACGCCCGCTGCTTGACTTCTTGCCCTTCTGCCCCAACAGCGCGAGCCCTGGCGCTGACAGCCTAGCACTTTGTTGCTGTTGTACTCAGAGCTGACTTTGAACTCGATGTCCTCGAACCTGAGATCTTCCTGCCTCAGCTTTCGAGGGCTGGGAATACACGCGCGCACCTCTGAACTCTGCCCAGCGAGGTCCCACTAAGACACCGCCCGTCCCAGGCCCGGAGATGATCCGCCTTTCTCTTGAAGTCGGTGGGCCGAGACCCGCAGGGAAGGAGGCGTCGGCGCTGCCCCAGCCCAGCAGGCCGCGCCGCAG